TGGCTGGCTCTTCTCAGAATGCATCAGACCATGGATGTCATCATGGTTGGGCAAGGCATGCCCTCTTCTAACCACCAGTTTTGATACGCGGCGGTTTCTGATGCGCCGGGTTCTTGCTGATGTGCGGTTTCTGATGCGCACTGCTTTCTAATGCGCAGTTTCTGCTGTGCGGCAGCTTCTGATGTGTCTGTGGTTTCTGATGCGCAGTCAGTGTCTGATTCAAGGCCCAGTTTCTGATTTTGCAATGAATCAGCCAACTCCAACAGAGAGCTTTGGCCTGCTGTTCAAGTCATGCCCAAACTATCAGACGTGGTTCATGGGCTTCCTCAACACCATATGTCCGGACTGTCATCCACAGCGCTCTTGCAACCACAATCGGGGCAAAGCACGCGACTACATGCATCCTGCCGTGGTGAGCAGCTTCCGTATTTGCCACTCCCTCTCTTAATCATAAACCCCAACACCACCAACACCACCACCACCACCACCACCACCACCGCCATCGCGCCTGTTCTGAAGATCCTTAAGCCTGGTTGCCAAAACTGTGTGGCTCAGTGTTGCAGTATTGCGAAGTTCCACAAACAACATGTTAGGTTTCTTCGTCACCTTGGGGCTCTTCGAAACCGACGGAGGCTCTCGATGCTGCTCGCGGTCCGAGCTTGGTGTAAGCCCTCAACACATAAGTTCGCTTTCCCTGTTTCCTTCGCTACCCCACGAAGTGTCTTCTGCATCCCTTCCTACAGCTCTTTGTACTCATCAGATTAGATTAGAAGCTTCCGGGCTTGCTTTTTCTCAGCGAAAATCTGGTCAATCCATTGTCGTCGCTTCTTCCTGTCGCTGGCTTAGCCCTGTCACTCGCTGCGTGTGGTGAAACAACAGATTCGCAGCGTGCCGACAAGTCGAGGCTGCTTGTAGTCCTAAAAACATCCTAACCCCGGACGATATTAGTTGCAAGGTCCACATGCATAGGCATGTTCGTATGTGTCTAAAGTTTGCGACATGTATGCACAGAGATGCCTGGATGTAAACATTTACTTATCCGTGTCTCAAGACGTACATGTACATGATCTTACTCAGCTTACGAAGGGGGGTTTATAGATATGTATATAGATATAGATCTTGATAAGGATACTGATAGAAGTAAAGATATAGATACAGATATAGACTAACACAGACAAAAATGGGCTGATACAAATCAAACACGCAAATAGAATAGATACAGACATAGTTTTTGGTACAGATGTAGATATAGGCATAGCTATAGATGCAGATATAGATATAGACTGACACTGATGTACATATAGATATAGGTATGGATAACCCGAACGCACATGCATGGATACATGACCTACCGATCATGCGTCGCATACTGACGGCAAACTACTGTCTATCTATCTGCTTATGCACCTACATGTCTGCCAAGCTCCCTTTGCGTCTGCATGCATGATTAAGAGCAACCAGTATTGACATGCACAACAGCGAACCGAGCCCGTACTGCTTCAACATGAAAACTCTTAGGAATGATGGCGAGTTGAAGCTGACAGCGAAACCGCCCAAAGCATGGCCGTTGCACTGGTGGAAGCAGAAGTTCGCGGTGTAGAGGGTCGTAGACATGGTCGCTGGCGCAGTCGCCGTCGTCACCATCGTAGCAGCAACGGTAGGAGTTGCAGGTGGGCGGCAGCGGCAGCAGTAGCAGCAGTAGCAGCAGGAGGAGTAGTAGTGGTAGCAGTAGTAGGAGTATGCTTAGTGGTAGTCGTGGCGGTAGTATAGTAGCAGCAAGCAGCAGAAGGGGCAGTCGGCGTGGTTCGCGTCGTCCTTCGCGGCGGCGGTGATGGCGGTTGTCGAGTAGTAGAAGACGACGACGACTGCTACTGGTACTGCTGCTACTACTACCACGCTACTACGACTGCTGCTGCTACTGCTGCTGCTACTGCTGCTTACTACTACCCTGCTCCTACTCCTACTCCAACTCCTACTCTTCCTCCTCCTCCTCCTACTACTACTCCTGCTACTACTACTACTACTACTACTGCTACTACTACTACTCCTACTACTCCTACTACTACTACTACTACTACTTCTACTTCCTATTATTCTACTTCTACTTCCACTACTCCTACTCTCACCACGACCAAAATCTTTCTGCTAGTACTTATATTCGTACAGCTTCGAAAAGAATACACTACTGCCAACAGCCGAACCCAATACTACTACGTAAACTACTGCGAATATTGCGAGTAGTGTTGCTCTTCTCTGCGAACTCGTTGTCATGTGCTACTCTACCTACCTAGAGAACCAGTTGGCTGCATGTACTGAGAAACCTTTGAACCGACAGAAGGTCGTGCAGCCATCGAAGTCACTCGAACGGAAGCATTCGCGTTGGGCATGCCCGGATCGTCATGAGTAGCCATGACACGAAATAACATGTTAACCTATCTTTAAGCCCCAAGTCCGATCGGCTGCCTTCGAACATTTCGATATCTTAAAAGCTGGAGGCCCTGTTAGCTCAAGTCCAGCATAGAGAAACCTGCAACCCAGACAAGCGCACCCCAAACTCTGCAACCGTGAACCCTAAGCACCAAAGTTGGGCACCTCAAGCTGCAGACCGTCTTGTCATGGTTTTAAAAGGCAGCCGATGGAAGAAGAAAGCTGGGAGGCCAGTTTTTACCAGCACACAGCCGGACAGCTCTGCAGAAAGGCGGTGCTGACGGTTTAGGGTTCAGGGTCAAGGCGATAGGGTTCAGGCCTCTTTATAGGGTCTAACCAGGAATCCTTCATTGTAGCCGTCATATATACACAATATACATATCAGACTACATGTTCTTTACTGAGCTATATGCTATCTACTACATATCATATGTGGTACGATTGTAACTTCATTTTCTGATATATCATATGTATTTATGTATATGATGTGTGTGTATATATATATACATTTTTCTATATTCTATATTCCAAAATGGAATATACATGTATGTAGCATATATGTATGTATGTGTGTATGTATATTATATGTATAAATATATAACACGCATTACCTGATATTTCTTCTAAAACTACATATCAAAGTTACATATTGCACATCATCTGTTCCTGTACTGCATAACATACTTTCGCAAACACACAATGCATAATTCTTACTGTACTACATGAGATAGTTGTATTTTTAGTACCTTTCTAGAAACATTTCTATTTACGAGATATTGTGCCATATTCTGTCTTGTATCATATTACATATCGTCTTTTCTGATATGATATGTATTGTATCATATTATATTCGACGCTGGCTTTATGTAGACATGTAACTGTCCAGTTTATGATACTGTATATGTCAACAGTTATATCATGTATTTTCTCATTTTCCTAGGGTGCATAGACAGAGTGCGGTCTATGGAGAGTCAGAATCATGCCCTACAACTTGAAAAGCAGCCTTTCAAGCAAACAGTGTCGCTTCGGGCATATTGCCTGTTTCCCTCTGATTCCAAGTGCTTTCAAGCTGAAGTTGCTTGGGTTCGGTAGTTGTTGCATCAGCCTTTCTTGCATCCACTGGCCGCGACAGTAAACTTGTCGCTGGCGGTACGTGGAGCCCGCCCGCTGCATCTCAACCAGCTCGGGTGTGGGACAATGCATCTGCGTCCGAGTGCCGAAAGCCCTGCATAGCAAATGCCTGGAACGTTGGTCTGAGCCAGTGCACCTGTAACCAATCATATGGGTATTCTTCTACTGAGCACTCCCACAGTGACCCGGCTTCAAGACTCGCGCAGATGACTATTCGAACTACCTTTGGAGTTCAAGTCACACATGCCAGGCTATTTCACTAGTGCTCACCGATGGCAGGGAAACACCGGACATGCATCTTGCAGGTCTTGATACCATCTGCAACCGGGCGCTACAGAAGGAGACGATAGCCATTGCTGCAAGTGCTGTTGCTGACAATGTCCATTTTAGGTGGTCCCTTGCCACACCCACGAGGCAATTGAGGCTCAACGCCCCCGTGCCTGCTTGCTTCCTCCCGTCAGAACCGAAGCCACGAGAGCCCAAGAGGTTGAGGGATTAGGGGCAAAGTACAGCGTGTACAGGTGTAAAGTTCTAGAAATGTGTCCGCATGGTCTGCGGATGTGGCAAACAAGGCCAACACTCCGAAGGGATAGTGTCCCAGTGCAACTCCCTCCGTCTCCCTCCTCAGGTTAAACTAGCTGAAAGTGATGGAAGCCAGTGTTCGTGACCAGGTGTGTAAAGCCTGGTCGCAGGCTTAGATATTATCTACTTTTTGGTACCTTTCTGCTACTTGCAACATACAACCTTCACAGTACAGATGCCAACTCAAGGATGCAATTGTACCGAGTTCGGTGACGCAACCTGTGTGCGCAGTGCGATCATGTACTCGCAGTGTCGTTCTTTTGCTCGCCCTGCATGACTGCAGTGTACAGTAGGCCCGACGAGCTCTTCTCTGATAATATCAGCCCCTGCACTGGAGGCTCATCTAAAGCTGCAGGATCCGACGGCAGCATAGCAAGACACCCGGAAATGAGGAGGCTCGCCACCCCCAGCCACTCACAAGGCCTCACGGGGTCCTTAGGAGCAGAACAAGGCTTTCGAAAGGGCGAGGGTTCGTGGTAGTAGGAGACACGAATCAATCAAAGCTGTGCCGACCAACTACGACGATGATGGCCGTGGCTACTGACCTTGCGGCTGTGACTATGACTGGCCTCACTGGTTTGCAGTTCCGACGACTTCTCGTCTGCTACGGCCACGGCTGGTTGCAATTCCGACTGTATCTCTCTTCTTCTACGACCACTGCTTACCAGCATGTAAGCTCCGGTATCTACTGCAATGCACATTGCGACATCAAGAGCATCCAAGGAACAACAAGCATTCATCCCTGCTCCCTCACGAGGTGAACTTCGTCGCCCCCTTGAGGTCATTTAGGGTTCCGGGCTTCAGGTCCAGAAGTTAACTTTGGTCGCCTTGGTCCGTATCCCTCCTCGAGGTCGTGGCAGCTACTTCAGCAGCTCCGTGATGCCCCGTGCGTCCAGCAACTGAGCGGTTTTTTCTCCGGCTCCGGTTTAAGGCTCCTTGGGCCTCCGGTGTCTGATGGTCTACAAATATCGGGCTGACGGAGAATCAGGGCTAGGCTTGCGGCCAAAGCTTTTTGGGGATTGGGGCTTCGCGCCCAAGCTTCAGAAGGGGTCGAATTTGGGAGCAACTGCTTCGCTCCCCCTTTCTTTGAGCCAGAAACCCTCTGCCATTGCGAGCCTTCGCGTCCCGCTGCTGGATCTCCGGGTGAAACTTGAAGCACCTGGCAACAGGAGCTACACTTCAGGCCTTCGAAACCTCAGCCATGCGTGCCGTTCCCACAAGAAGCTGAAAGACATGGCGAGGCCGCTCGGCGTAAATGTAATTTTGCAGCAACCTCTTTGTAGGAGTGAACCTGAGGGATCAGGGTTCTTGAGGCTCAGGCCTCAGAGGTTCGGACTTTGGAACTCGGCTTCAAGGTTCGCTTCTCTGGGATCTTACTGTATCCTGGATTCCACCTAAGCCCCTAAACCCCTAAACACTGTGGGTGCCGGGCTTGTCGAAAGCCCAGTCGACCGGATTTTCGGCCACGGGCTCGTCGTCGGGCATGTGAAGCGTTTCATAATACCTGGCCATTCGGGAAAGGCATGATTACATTGCAGGGTTCTAAGCTGGCAAGAAGGGAGGATACCGGCAGCCAGAGAGAGCCAGGCTGCTTGAAACCATGTGAGCCATGTCCATGTTCAGCTAAACACACGCATTACTACAAGTGATCTTCCCCATCAAGCTGTCGAGAAGTGCGGGTCTGGACATGTCTGCACTTGTCCATCTCTACGCATCCAAGACCTTCCTCCCAAAACCCCAAGCCCGGCGGCACGGTAGAACCAGGCACTCTGGGATCGTCGCTCGCTTGGTTGGGTTGAAAGTGAGCCTGGGGTGCCAAGGCTTCGAAACGGCGGTTCGTTTTTTTGCTGGAGGCCTTTTATGTTTCGGGTTGAGGGTGTTCGGTTCAGTACACACTGCGAAAAGAAAGGAAAAGAAAACAACTGCTGAACATTATATACTTCAGCCAGACATTGATGATATTCGACGACTGAGCTTTTGGAGCTGAGGCTAAGTACTAAGTAGGTGAAGATGACAACAGTCGCCGTCGTCGTCGCACTACTACTGGCACTACTCCTACTCCTACCCCTACTGCTACTGCTACTCCTAGTAGTAGTAGTAGTAGTAGTAGTAGTAGTAGTAGTAGTAGTAGTAGTAGTAGGAGCAGCAGTAGCAGTAGCAGTAGCAGTAGCAGTAGCAGTAGCAGTAGCAGTAGCAGTAGCAGTAGCAGTAGCAGTAGCAGTAGCAGTAGCAGCAGCAGTAGCAGTAGCAGTAGCAGTAGCAGTAGCAGTAGCAGTAGCAGTAGCAGTAGCAGTAGCAGTAGCAGTAGCAGTAGCCGTAGTAGTAGTAGTAGTAGTAGTAGTAGCAGCAGCAGCAGGAGTAGTAGTAGTAGTAGTAGTAGTAGTAGTAGTAGTAGTAGTAGTGGTAGTAGTAGTAGTAGCAGTAGTAGTAGTAGTAGCAGCAGTACTAGTAGTAGTAGTAGTAGTAGTAGTAGTAGTAGTAGTAGTAGTAGTAGTAGTAGTAGTGCTGATGGACGAAATCTTGCATCGAATTTCGATGAGCGCCCGTCCCTTCCACACCATTGATGCCACACCCTGAATCTTAGTATTGATGTCAAACAGCTCCAAAACAAGGCATGTCTGCGAATGGACGAAAACCTGCATCATGATCTGCGTCGTCAACTTTGACTTAGAGGGGTAAGGGAAGTGAGTCAGTCAACGTGTCATGCTCTTCTTCCTGTGGGTCTTGCACGATTTTGTCCACCCACCGTAGAAGTAGCAGAAGTAGTAGTAGTAGTCGTCGTCGTCGTAGTAGTAGTTGTTGTAGTAGTAGTCGGAGTAGTCGGAGTTGTAGGAGTAGTAGGAGTAATAAGAGAAGTAGTAGTAGTAGTAGTAGTAGTAGTAGTAGTAGTAGTAGTAGTAGCAGTAGTAGTAGTAGTAGTAGTGGTAGCAGTAACAGTAGCAGTAGCAGTAGTGGTAGTAGTAGTAGTAGTAGTAGTAGTAGTAGTAGTAGTAGTAGTAGTGGTAGTAGTGGTAGTAGTGGTAGTAGTAGTAGTAGCAGTAGTAGTAGTAGTAGTAGTAGTAGTAGTAGTAGTAGTAGTAGTAGGAGTGCTGCTTTGCATTAGCAGTAATTACCACCTTTACGAGCTGTAGCAATGGCAGTGTTGCTAGTAGGCCAGCCGCCGCAGCAGCAGCAGCGGCCGTGGCAGCAGCAGCAGCAGCAGCAATCAATATGTCTGTCTTTTGGCACTTACGGTAGAGGTGCTGTATGGACCAAGGCTTGTTCCCCCGACTCTCTCAGCATCCGGCATCCGCTCAATGGCATGGATGCCAGCCTCTGTCGCCTGGCCATCGGCAACATCTTTTCATTTGGGGAAACTTGCACTGGACTGGTCTGGGAACTTCAACTGTAGCCCTATATGTTGATCCTCCGCTCCCTACTCCTAGCATTCTCGACAGAAGACCTCAACAGAAACGCCTTGTGGAAAAACACACGGTACCGCCAAACTTGAAAACACAAACAAGAGAGGCCTTGGGATAGACGGACTTCCAGCTCTGCTTGGTGCACGGGGGAACCTGGCGCAGACGCGCGAAGACGTGATGTTCATGGATTTTCTGCTCTGCGCATCAGTCTAATTACGGGATTACTGTCAAGACTGTTGCTGCTACTGACACTAGTTCTACGGATTTGGGTTGAGAGTTTTGTGAGTCGGGTCTTGTCTGGGGTTTGAGGTTTCGGGGCTCCGGGATTCGCGATTAGGGACGGGCGGTTCGTGTTTGGAACTCGCAAACAAAACCGAAGGAGTGCTGCGGCTCCCCCACAACCCTGAATCCTGATCTCCTAAAGTACAACGGGAAAGTTGGAACACTAAGGCCCGCACATCTTGAAGCTCCGTAACGGATTAGTAGTCCACTCCTGTGAGCCCCTCAAATCCTCTGGTCGCCTTCTTGATGAAGTTCCTGGCAGGGCTCCGTGGAGGCAGCCAAGTCAGGTCTTCCTGCACCAGGTCTGGCTGATGGGGGTGAGCTGTCAAGGTCACGTCTGCGAACCCATGTGACAACTCTTTCCCTGATGACGCCTGCTCTCTGATCCCTAGCCCTATGACTAGCACCGCTTGTCGCGGGGTCTTCGGGAGTTTCGGAGGACCGGCCCGCAAAAAAAGCATCGGAGCTGGCCTGGAGCTCTGAGGCTTTCGGGACATCTCGGATTTGGGTGTCTTAGCCTCGAGGACTTCGGGTCTCAGTGCAAGTCCTACGCCGACGCTACATCTGCCTTTGCCCATGCGGAGCAACCCCAAAACCATCCCACTTGGCAGTCCTCCGAGGGAGTGCCCACAACAGATAAGATCTTCTTGATCTGGTCCAGGTGGTCCTCTCACAGAGCTGAGGGTGGATCTTCATGTTTAGGGTTTGGGTGTCACCTGAAGGCCGTGAGCCTAGGACATGTTGGTGGCAGACTGGAGGTTTCCCAGGCTTCAGGGGACACTCCCCTACAGTCGTGCAAGCCCTGCGGGTGCCGAAGGCCGAAGACTGGGGCCCGATGCCTTCCCAAAACGAAAGACCACATAGACGGAAGGATCTCAGAAAGCGGGTTTTCGGGGGCTCTTGTAAATACGTCTAAACAAGGACAGCCTGAGCCCCGAACCTGAAGTCGAAAGTCGTTCTACATTGCGGGTCCTGGTCGCACCCTGGTGACTAATCAAAACGAACACCCTACCGGCCACCTGAAACGGGGAGGCCTCATCCTAAAACCAAAGCATGGCTGGGCCTTGCCGGTGAAGATCGGCTTGCGGCCGATCAGCTCGCAAAGAATGCACCTGGCCCCAATCATCGTAGAAACTCTTGCGAATTAAGAGCGTCTGCCAGGAAACTCCAAGCCTCTTACAGCAAGCATTTCCCACGACTCAAGCAACGAGAACCTGGACGCTGTGTAGAATATGCACTGAACTACATCGAGGGTTAAGCTTTAAGATTTCCATTCCGGCGAGACTCTCCCATCAACACAACACCCCATCTCCGAATGCAGAGCTTCCGACTGGTCAGGGTTCAGAACCTCGCTTGCCTAATTCACGTTTACGGCTCAGGGTCGAGAGCTCAGGATTTGGGGTGACGTAGCGGATAGGGCAGGCATCAACCTTCCAAACACATGTCCCGTCCCTCTTCGACGCCCTTCCCCCAAGCGCTCGGGGCGCACCCAACCGACCAAACATCGATGGACTTGGTGTATTCTGATGCCAGCAGGACAACCTCAAAGCCGTGCGCTTTCTGGGTGAACTCTTCCATGTGCCATCGTAGTCCCCAACTCTCTGAAGGTGGCGGCTAAGATGACAGGAGCACAGGGGCTGTCAACCTAGTGGATTCGCGATTTGGCGGTTCCTCTTCAGGAGCCTATGAAAAGGCTGCCTTGTTTTCTTAGTACGATTTAGCCAAGGTCATGAGTCTGATGATGATGCTCATTATGATGATGGCGGTGATGCCACTGATGATGCGGATGATATTGATGACGGTGATGGTGATGATGGTCATGAGATACTCATGCCGCTTACTTACACGCACTCATGCTGCGAACGCACATAAGGGCTGTCTTGCCTGTCTCCAGGTACTGTCGCGACAAACTACCGTCCTCGTTCACCGTCCATCCCCAAAGTCTCAGTCGCAGACCTCAGGAGCTCTGTACCACCTAGTGACCACGTAGTCTGTCAGGGTTGGATCGTCCTGGCCAGAAAGAATTCTGCGAACCGAAACCCTCCTCAGGGCTGCAGGATTAAGGTTAAAACGCCTGCGGGTTCAGGGTCTAGGACGGGCACATGATTCTTCCGAACGACGCTACGTTACTACTCCGGTATCGCAACCAGTGTTATGGTCATGGGGCCTGGCCAACAAGGCGATAAGTACGCTCATACTCTGAACGCGTTTTTTTTAGTTCTTTTAAGTCGAACACCCCAGACATCAAACGTTGAAGCCCCACCTCGAGGCTGAAGCAACAGTCTCGTGTTGTTTTATGGGTTTGGGAGTTTTGGGTCTTGGTTCTTGTGGTTTATGGAGTGATATGGGAGTTCTCAGGGCAAGAAATGATCTCGCTGTTTGGCACCGATTGCTGCATATCCTCGATTATACAAGTTCGCGAAACCATGGTCAGAGGCCACCCAAACCCAGACTTCCCGCGGGCCTCGTCATTGCCCAACCCACGAGCGAGACCAAAATCGCAAATTTTCAGGTCGCAGTTCTTGTTCACCTGGCTCACAACTTCCCAAGCATCGCTCAATCCCATTACCGAGCCAAGGAAACGGGTCAAGGCAACCGCAGAACCGTCTCAGCCGTGCAAGCGCGCAAGCAGTGCCAGGATATTTGCAGGCTTCAGATCGCGATGCACCACGTTCGCACCTTCGGAGAGTGGAAGAAAACAGTGATGAAGATGAAGGTCACGGTGAGGGTGACGGTGAGGGTTGCTGATGTTGCGCCATGGTGCGCATCATGAAATGGGTGGTGGTGGCAGTGGTGGTGATGATGTTGATGCTGAAGGTTACCACGGTGGAGGCACAATCAGTTGGCAAAAGACAAGGAGCGGAGGCAGTGCTACCAGCGTCGCCTTTGTCCGCTTCTTGTTCAGTTCTTAGAAGAGTGTGTAGGTTCCATGTTCTCCATCTTCGAGTCTAAATGCTGAGAACTTTTGGGATATCAGAGCTGAGGGTCTGAGCACCCAGTACACGCGCTGGACTTTGTCCATCCTACTCGAACTTGAAGTCTTGACGAAGGACGTTCCCACACAGAATCTTGCCACCTTGAACGCTGCACAGCCAATCTCACGAGGTGCTGAGCCCGCGCACTGTGGAGGTACAGCAATCCGCGAAGGATTTGGTAGGAGAAGTACCTGGAAGCGTGCATCAAGGCTGTCATGGAAGGTTGACAAAAACACAGTAGCAGCTTAGAAAAGAACACCCAGCAATCCCGATAAGTTAGACCATACTGCACCTATGGGGTTTTGTAGGGTCTTTTATGGGTTTTTAGTCGAACATCCCGTTGAATCCTGGCCCTTGACAGGTGAACGGTGGAGAGCTGCAGGCTGGGCACTGGTGGTGCTCGTCATTCAAAACCTGAAAGCAGGAGAGATGGGGGAATACTGCCCATCTGGCAACTTGGAGTTTCTGGTTTTTCAGGACTTCATTTAGACACGGGTCCGGGGCGACAGAAGGTGCCTCTGGGTATCCCTTGAACGCCCCAGGAACAGGCAATTAAAACGTCGAAGGGCTCGAAGTCTTCTGGATGGAGAACGATGATGGAGTGCCGCTACTCTACGCGGGGCATCAATCTGAAGCTAACAGCTAACAGAATAAAGGGACAGCAGACTTGTGGCCAATCAACACATTGACAATTCTGTCGCCTCTTATGACTTAACAGTGAGAGCTGGAGCAGAGTTGCTAAACTCGGATTTATCTCACAAGGACCCGGACGAGACGTTGGTACCCGAAAAAAATACATCCAGGGCCAGACGCGCCCGCCTGCTTCGAGTAGATGACGCGATGCAGATCTGTCTCCATCAGGTCAGTAACCTTAGGGTTGAGGGTGTAGTGGCCATTTAGGGATACATCGGGGTCTTATGGTTCTAGTGCCTTTACGGGGTCCGGGGACTCCAAGGTTAAGGCGTTTAGGCCGACATCTGCAGCCAGGGAGCGATGTAGATATCATCGAAGTCAGGATGTTCTGCGCAGGCAGGGTCGGGGATGGCTTGAGCTGTGGAAGCTCAGCTTGCTTCGGAGCTTTGCAAGGTCATCATTCCAAACTGGAACCGGGTTGGGAGGAGCGCCAAGATCTGGAAAAATCAAAACAGAGCAGATCCAGGAGCTCGGAGCTGGCAGAGCGAGGCAATCGTCCCAGAATGCTCTGTTCCCAAAGCCGCCAGTGCTAAACCCAACACGCAGATGTCTGCACTACGTCCATGTTTATCCTACTCCCCGAAGCCCACTTGTCCTGGCGGGTACATGTCCAGGATGCTGATGATCTGCACAGGCGCAGCTTTCGCGGTGCAGAGGATGCCCATGGGAATGGTTAGGTGCAACACTTCTTGCAGGCGGAATGTTACAAAGCCTAGGGCCTAGGGCCCGCCATGTATCGAGGCTCCTGTATCTGGGTTCAGGTTTGGTTTGCTGATTTCATCGCTTTTGCATCTTCGCTTCAGGCGGCCGCCTCTCAGCTACATCAGGCGGTTCGGAGCCCCAAGCCATGACGGGAGATATGTCGGGACTTCTGCGGCTCTTCTATTCCACTATAGCATGTAACAGCTGTGGAGATGAAAAGAGAACGGGAGAGAGACCTGCAGGCAGCAATGAAGAAAAAAGATAGAAACAAGGCAGACAGAGAATTCTGCAAGCCTCGAAGATCCCGGCAAGCGTCAACTATCCGGAGCCTTGAGCCCACACCCTACACGAAATCGCTGAGGGTCTGACATTGTCATGCCTGAAGCTTCTCAAGAGCTTGACCTAGCCAGGAAGAAACAGCTGTCTCCGGCATTTGCAGTTCCCGAGAGGTCGATGATTACGCCATACTCCTCCTGCCTCCACTATCACTACTACACCAACCCCCAGCACCACCCCCGCCCACAGCACCACTAACACTACCACAACACCAGCACCACTGCTTCCTTTGATTCTTGCTCCTCGTGTGATTACCATTGCCATCTTCACCACAACACCGTCGTCGAAATCCATGCTGGTCTCACAATCGGCTGACATCCTGCTTAACGATGTGAAACACAAACCACTCAGTTCGAACTAAAACCATGTCTCGGTAGTCACTGTCAGTTGTGTTCCTGTTGTCAGTGGTGTCTCGCCCTTCTCCTGAACGGCGCCTCTCGCAGAATGCGCTTCCCATCCACTAGGTCGTGGAATGCATCAGTGATCTTCTTCACCTGGCAGCTTTCGACACTGCTGCACCAGAATATCGATGCTCAAGAAGGTGCTGGTCGCAGCAACGGTGCGAAGTTGCATTCGAGGCAAACCCTTACCGTGCAGGCGCTGCTACCATCGTCACTACTTACTATGACTGTTACTACCATCACTAGGCGTCAGTTCTTCCTCTCCTCTCTTACCGGCATTTGCACTGCTATAACGATCAAGTCACAAGTACCATAGCAAGTTCTGCGCCGCAATTCCAACTTCAGGGCTCCGGGCCGCCAGCTTGGTGCCACTCTTGGGATCCTGACACACTAAAGACTTAAAATGTTAAGGGAGCGGTCTATTTTAGATGCTGTTCTAGTTTTGGCTTCTTTTCAACATTGCTCTTAAAAATACCAGCAGCTGTAGCAACTGCACGAAAGCTTGTGCCGCCATTTTTTCTCATTACTACCTCTTTCCTGTCCTCGTTTCTGTGCTTAGGGGCAATGGCCGTAATAGCAACGATAGTAACGAAGTGTCAGGCAAACGAAACATGCAGTGTTGGTAAATATGCGGCACATGAAGAACTTCGGCTTTAGCTATTGAAGGAAAGTGCAAGAAATTCAACCACGGCTCCACAAGCCACAAACAACAACAGACCTAAATTCCTAACCTCACAGCCTCAAGGAACCCGAAATCGCTTTGACAGAAACCCGTGCCACCTGCTTCACCGGCCCTAAAAACCTATACATCCCAAGACAGCACGGCAAAGGCGGAGCCGCAGTCCTGGAAAGAGGCGACGGTGCCGTAAGCCCCCGAGCCCACCTCCCAAACCAAGAGATGTGTAAGTTGTGATGTAAATGAGCCTTACAGCTCATGGCTTTAAGGCGCTGGGTCTACGTCAACGGCTTGTGGTGTTAGGGATCGGGCTTACTTTCGGGATTCAGGTGTCAAGGGCATAAGCTTGCGGTGAGCAGGGCGGGGCTTCCACGGCTTGAAGCTTCAATGGGTAAGTGGACGGAGTCAGGTTCGTGAACCACTTTTCACGGCCTTGAGCTGGTCAGGGTTAAACAAAAAAAACATGGCATTCAGGGTTAGTGAACCCGAATGTCTCATTCATTCGGGTAGTCATTCCAGCATCAGCAGAAGAAATAGCACAAGCTGCAGTGGAAGGAGCAGTAATTGTGGTAGGAACAGTAGCATGAAGAAGTATTTGCAGTTTGCAGCAACAGTGGTAGCATATGTGCCGCCAGGAGTCACTTCCTCTCATGCTATGGGGCTGCAGCCTATTTCCGTCCAGTCAAAGAGGAATGTTGTTGGTAGCCCAAGACAGACAGTTCGTTGCGAAACCAAAGTATTTACGTAAATCTACCTACCAGCAACGACGGCTCTCAGCATCTTAGCCGCTCGGTCGACGATGTCGAACGGGAAATGGCACGTGCAACCGTAAACTCTCAGAAGTTAAGATTGGAGGGTTCTAGACCAATACAGGCACGATAGCAGAACCACATCACTACTTTTGAGGCTCCTGCATGGGCCTTTGAGGCATCGGGCCCTGAAAAGGAAGTTCCAAATTACGTAGTGTTACAAATGGCATGCACTCGCGATAATGCAAGACTGGGTACACGGTGAAAGGCGTCCTGGCCCCATGCGGCCTTCTTGATGAGTTCAAGATGTGCCGGCACCTTAAACTTCACCTGCACAACTTGTGGGATAGCCATCCTACTCGTAGGCCATACCGTCCGAAGCCGAGCTTAGCCCAAAACCTCAAACAACAACAGCATCAGCATCGTCCTTGCCAACTCGTTTGTTTGCAACACGTCCCGGTTTCCAAGTGCATGTGCAGGTGAAAGGGCTACAGCTTCGTGCCAGCTTGACTGACCACTTCTGGCAGCTGCAACATGATTGCGACAACTGCGATCACTGATCTTTTCCGGAAGCATTGCTGCATGACACCAACAGACAATGAACATCGCATGCGGGCAGCAACCAAGAGGTGACCAATCACAAACAAAACGGAGTAATGCCCCCACTCCAACCAGATTGCGCCGATACCTCACTTTGACGGCGATAGCGATCATGACGGGGATACTGATGCGGCTAATGGTGATGATGTCGAAGATGACACTCTCAGAATGTGATGATGCTGCCTACGATGGGGGAGCGATGAGTAATGATTGGCATGAGAATATGGTGGCGGCGATACGACTCTGAAGCTGAACACGGTGATGATATTGGTCTGATGTCGGCGGCGATGGTGCAGAGAAAACAGTGACGAGCAACAGCTGTACTAGTGTTGCCGCTTCGACTCCGCTTGCTCCTGCTAACAACACCACCATTACGTTCTACAACCTGAACGCGGCCTTGCCATCGATGACGACCTCTTTCCAGGCCGTGGCCGGCATCGCCGAACGCCCTGTCCTGCGACGGACACGGGCTCAAAGCAAGGCCTTCTGAACCCTAAACCCCATACCCCCCCCCCAAAAAAAAAAAAAACACTTCCGGCCTTGTTGCGCTTCCTTGGTCCGGCCGCGGCTCGTTACCTGGCGGAGAAAGCGGTGGAAAGAGGAGGTGGAGAGCTTTCTACAGTAGGGCTTCGGGAGTTTAACGTTTGGGAACAGGCTCAGAGCTCAGTCTTCTAGGATTTATGGATTTTGTAGTTGATAGAAATCTAAGGGTTTGCGGAGTTTCAACCGGGTTTCGAACAGGCAGCCTCATGTAGAGTGTCGAAGCCCGAATAAGTGGGTCCTTGTCTCCGGATTACCAAAGTAGGAGGTCCTTCCGTTTCAAGAACCCCCTCGTAAGAATACATGGAGTGCAGAGCTGAAGGCTTCGAAAAGTTGTGCTTCGGGGGTTTAGAGGCGCGGGGTCTGGGGGTTAAAGTAGTACTACTCAGTTACTACGATATAGAGCTGTTTAGGGCTTTATGATACTACTGTCTAGCACTGTTACGACTTCTCCTACAACGGTTCCTATGCTTGCAAGTGCAATGATGCTTCGTGCATTTTGTGCTCGGCGGATCGAGCAAAGCTCAGACGTCTCAACTCGACTCAATGCTTGGTAACATGTGAGGCTTTGAACTCGTGATCTTTGCTTGGCGCGTGCAGGAGCTACCATTGCTATGCTTCCGCCTTGGGGGCTGGCCGTGTTTCAACGAGACATTCCTCCTTCAACAGTAGCCTAGACTGTAGGGAGAAAGGCCTCACGCCACTTCAGGATTCAGGCTGAAGTTCTCCAGGCACTGCTAATGCGGCGTGGACTCTGTGCATGTCAACACTGGGGCGCGCCTCCGGTACAAGTGGACCGCTCCACCAGAAAATTTCCTATTGCTGGGTTTTGAGCCACGGCCGGCAATGCAGGGAGTCACCTTTCCAGCACCTCGAAAGCGCTGAAGAAACCCAAACAACAAATCCGGCAACCACGAGATCTGAAAGCTGAGCTTCTGCAAACCTTGGCAGAGCCCTTTTGCATGGACCTCATGAATGAAGGAGATGCAGATGTAATATCGGCTCTCGAAGTGGGAACCAAGGCCTCATGGGGGGAGCTCTGCGGGAAATCCCGGGCTCCAGTCTCTTTCGCCCTTTTTCTCAGAACTCTTCCAGGCGCTCTTCCGCGTCGGTGAGGAGCCCCGAGGCTTCCTCCTCCGGCTCAGGGGAAGGCCTCGGAAAGAGCTTTGGCGTCGGAGCTTTGGGGGGCTTTACAAGAGGGTCTTAGGATGTCTTACAAGGTTTTTGTCCGGTTTCTGTGAAGTCATACTGTCGGGCTTTGGAGCGTTCAGGTTAGGGCTTCAGACTTATGACTTAAGCATTCAGCTGTTAGGGTGCGGGCCCTGGGGTTCAGAGTTGGCGTCGGAAGCAGGCCATGGGCTTTGAGAGTTTGTGGCTTTAAGGCTCGTTTTGGTTTGGGGCGTCAGGGTTTTTAGAGCTTAGGGACGCCACGCTGCCGTGGGTGGGGCAGTCACGATACAAATACATGTGTTGCTTGGGCATCACGTACCCTAGATCACCAATTGTTTCGTCGTCATCTCAAGAGGCTCAACGGCAAGGCCGTTGAAATAGCTCAATACTGCCTTGCGTTTCTATCACCCTCGTGCCATGTCATGTCCCGAACCGTCTCGAGAATGAAAAGCAAGACGCTAACATACGCTAACTGTCGACACTACCTCCGCTTGAATTCCCGCAAGAAACCCCTGCAGGATTCCTTAGCATCCGCCAAGCCCAGCGGCGCCGTTTCCGGCAGCTCGACCGTGGCCAATGCACGGAGGCGTTGCACTGCCTCCTCCGAGTCTGCCGGTGGGTTACTTAGAAGCTTAGGAAGCCAGGCTTTACAGGCTCGCACCGTTGGAGATGTCTGAGCAAGACATATCGCTTCAGAGACTGCAACGCTTTGAACCAAGGAACCCAAGCCAGGCTGTTTAGGCCTTCGTTAGTGGCTTTGGTGCTGTGCTGCTAGTTGTTCTTGCCCAAGAGCAACAGGAGCAACTCAGGATTTCCCCCAGAAAAAAGAGCGCGCTGCAGGCCTTGAGCCAAGCTTCCGAGTCACCAAGCAGGCGGCCGTTGACCTGCAAAACAAACCGAAACCCAAGGACCCCCGACACATTCATTATGACTAAGTCGGCTGGCTTCGGGATCAACCTTTCTTCTCGAAGGTCTTCTATACAAGAGGCATACTGACTACATGCTTCTGGATTCTACCATCATGCGGTAATCAACGAACCCAACGGCACCCGCACGGGCACGGCATCATTCTTCTTGCCCGCCGGGAAGAAGGCCAGGAAGGGATACCCCTTCATTTGCTTCATTACCGGGTGATCCACCTCAGAGACAAGACAAGTTGTGCGAGGTTCGATTTGGGCTTCAGGTCTCTGATGCTGACAACAACAAAAGCACACAGCAAGAGTCTACACTGCGTCCGGGAAGCATCATTTTGTGTGTCGTCGATCTTGAGAATCGACAGCTGTCTCGCATGGCGGAAGTGCCGTGCCAATTCGTCCACTCGCGGCGACATGCGCTTGGAAAAGCCTGGGCATTAGACAGCTGGAGGCGGTCTGAAACAATGATCGATGCTAGCAGTTTAAGTCTTGTGGGACTCCGCATTATCCGACTACAACCACATACGAACACACATACGACCACACCTCGATCTATCTCTTCATCGCTATACGTCTGGGTATTAGGTCTAAGCATACATACATTCTTTGTTACAACATGCATACATACATACATACCGTACGTATGTATATCATACATCATATGTCCATCCATCTGTCTGAGCGTGCCTGCGCCTGCATGCATGCACATTCAAGAGCAGCAAAGACCGAGAGACAGACAGATCGCAGAAACACACCATTTTGTGATGTAGGGACGACAACTCATTGCGACGAGCGCCACGACGAAAACTACGACGACGGCGGCGGCGACGACGAGGACGACATCGACATGGATGCCGCTGCCGACGCCGACAACGACGACGACGACCACCACCAACAACACAACCACGCATCACCACCGCGGGGGCAGCTGCTGCTGACGCCGCCGTTGCTACCACCACCAACACCAGCAGGATATTTTCAGGATTTGGTTTCCATTGGGAATGATGTTTAGTCCAGCTGGGCGGCCGCACCAAGGTGCAAAGAACATGACCAGAACGTCCTTGCCGTCGTCCAGCGCTAGCCTGCTCATGGAATCTGCAGCTGAAGCTACTCTCGAATTCCACACTTCGGGACATTGGCAAACTCAGCAGTCTCCTTCAAGGTTACTCACAATGTCAATCCGATGACTACCACTGCCACTACCAGCACCAGTACCACTACCACTACCAGTACCAGTACCACTACCACCACCATCATTGCCACATCACTACTAAGTTACTACGTCCACTACCACTACCACTACCCCTACCCCTTCCACCACCACCACCACCACCACTACCACCACCGCTACTGCTACCACTACGACTACTGCTACTGCTCCCGCTCCCGCTCCTGCGGCATACTGTATACATATACAGTATGCATGTATACACGACATAGTCGTGCCAGGCAGCTCGTCAAACTGCGATGCGACGATTTCCAGGGCGCCGGCCTGTATTTCGTTGTGCAGCTATGGAAAATGGAAGCTTAGATCTCAAAGGCTCGCCAAGGCAAGAGCTTTTTGCGAAATCTGGACTTCGAGGGTCGAAGGCTTCGTCAGGTCTCAGCGCGGATTTCGTTTCTGGTGAACTGGCTAGGCACTGGCCTGGGCATCGTGCTGCCGTGGGTCCTCCATGCACCAACACTTCTCAGCAGAAGACGCTTCGGTGCACTCATTGGTCTCTCGAGTCTCTGGGCCATTACGAACCTTCCACCATAAAGCCCAAACCCGACACCCGCTCTTCAACTCAGGAGCTGAGCCCCAGATACGACATGCATTAAGAACCAGAGGGTTCTCAATAAGCTGGATACACCGGTGCAGTGCGAATCTTTGGCTCCCCATGCCCAAACACATGTGTTTAGTATGCCACAACATGAATGACACTTCGAAACGTCAACGGATTGCACCCTAAACCTTCAGCCCTGAACTCAACCTGACTCCCAGTCCGCGACGACGGGAGCCGAACGCTGCCACAGGGGCACCTCGCCTCAGATCAAGCGAACAGGGAGGCTTGTGCTCGTATCCTCATTGAACCTAAACCTAAACGTACAGTGTAAATACTCCTATTTGCCTTCAGTCTCGTCGTTTCAGGTATTGCTTCTGCGAATCGCCATGCATGATAGCTAGCCCTTGTTTTGTGATAACCAACCCCAAACCCAAAACCCTATTCCTTGACAAGACTCCTGAACGCTCCCTTTAGGATCCTTCGTATACGATACTCCGACAAGAAAGCTCCTCAAGTTTCCCCCGCCAAACTGCACCACCACCCCCACCCCCTCTCGCCGTTTTCGTCGCGGCATCCGAGAGGCCTCGGAGGAAGCGCTGCGAAAACTCCAGCAGTGGTGTTTTGGCCAGCGGAGGGGCAGCCCCTGGTCGGACAAGTCTTCGGGCTTTGTTTTTATTTTGGTTAAGGGTTTAAGGTGTCGGGCTTTGTTACCAGAAGGGTTACTATACTATATAACATACTATTAAGGGATACTGCTGAAGTTTGTTCGTGAGGTCGGGTTTGGTCTGCCTCATGAAACCGCTGCATGCAATTTTCCTTTGCAGCTCCGAAGGTAGGGTCTTTACCGAGGGTCCCTAGCACTGGCCATACTCCAAACCGCTCTTGCTAGCGCGCTCTAAGTAAATTGACACCCTGTAGGAAAAAGCCGGTGTATAATACTCTTCTATGTTCCCTGACACCGTTCTATTCTGAGAAAAGAACGCAACTTCTTGTTTTACCTCGCTATAACCAGTGTAAACATGCATCATAACTCTACGTAAATGAGTGCTATGAGCCAAGCCCTGCGACGAATAAAGTCCGAACTCATCCTCTGCGATTCTCTAACTTCAGGATTTGCCACGCCTTGTGAGTGGAGAAACAACTGGTATGGGCGCTCGCCGAGCCCGTTTGTCCAATTCACGACCATGGCCTTTCAGAAGTTGAGGGCTTTAGGGATTTGGGGCCGGCTGCAGCTCTTGGTTGCAAGTGTAAGTAGATCCTGCCCCCTTTGGTCAGCATAGCACTGCCAGCCCCCAGCCCAGAAACAGTGTAGGGAAGCTCCTTCCCTACCCGAAGACCGATAAACACAGAGTGGTGCTGCATCCCAGAGATGCTTGGAAGACGGCTGATAGACTTGCCCGGATGCGCGTGTGCAGACTTAGCCAAGACATGCCTCAAGGCCCAAATGGAAGGGCGACATACCCGAGTACAAGAACGGAACGAGTCGTCCCTGTGGCTCTGGGTGCCCATTCCGACATGCATGGTGAGCTTGCAGCGGGCCTTGATCATAATGGTCACAATACCACCATACTCGTCCCCATATTTAACCATACGAACGACTTACTAAAGCATACCGCAACACCTTGTTCAAGTTTTCAGAGAGATCCACAAGTTTTGTCAAGTCCCCCGAACCAACAACGAACACCCAGCTCAAAAGCTCCCCGAAGAACGTGGACCCCAAACTAAACTTTCAACCTTATCAGTCCAGAACCTTCTGATTGTTTTCATGGGGGTTGCTGGGGCCGGAATATTTAGATAGGGTTTTGTGGGGCGTATGCCAAACCACGACCACACAGGGATTGGAATCGAAGGGCAAAGTACCTCTCCTACCGGGAGCCGACATAATTGCAACAATGCTGTGGCGTAGATTATGCTTTACATGCATGAACAGGGAGGAATCAAGCTGCGCAACATTGAAGCCCTCCTAGGCCCTACACTGTCCTACAACAAACCCGACATTCCTTGTGCCCCATATACGCAACATCCTGAAATTAAGTACTGAGGCAAATACCGTTGGCAGGTCTCCGACTCTCCTTGTGCACAGAGACTCACAAAGCTTACAGTATTACAGTAGGATCTTCAGCAGGCTTCCTCGATGTGTGGTAGCGATCATGACAACAAGAAGGCTAACAAAAATACCCAGCCCAATCTATGCATTGGGGTATCTTGTTTGGCTTCTGTGTCAGGGCCCCTGTTTTCTAAACTCCATGGATGGATGGGGACCGGTCCGAAGCAGACTTCGTCAGGTCAACGGCCCTTGCGCTCAAAAAAAGGAGCCATATGTTGGTCTGATATTCATGGACTTACGGACTTCAGTGAAGATATCAGGATGCTTTGGTGCGATCGGCCCTTCTCTGGCAACAGTTTATTATGTGATCGGAGAGGGGGTGTAGGGACCCCACACATCCAAAAGTCCTTCCGCCTCCCCGGAATCACTGCTAGCTGCTTGGCTGTCTCTGTCCGTCGGCACAACGAAAACCTACCAAACCACCAGCAGGCTTTAAGGTCAAAAAGCTTGCGCCCGAACTGCAGAACCCTTGCTCCGCAATACGCAGCCAAGCTTCACCTTGAAGAATTTCAGGGCGCTGTGCATGTCGGCGGATAGGATCACCTAAACTCTTATCATGTTATCGCGGATTCGAGCTTCGGCTTCAGTACGTGTGAGGCTACGTGTGTTTGAAGACTAAAGATGTTTATGTGTTTACTAACTTGTATACAAAAAGATAATTATACACTTAAACGTATCGGTATGTACAGATGTATAGATGTATGTATGTATGTAGATAGGTGGGTAGGTAGGTATGTTGGTTTGTGCGCGTGGATGTAGGCATGCAGGCATGCAGGTGCGTCTGTATGTATCTGAGCGACAGTAAGAGCGAGAGGTGCGAGAGAGAAAGAGGGAGGCTTTCCTTTAAGCCTCCATGGCTCGGGATTTAACACAAAGCTCCAGAACACAACACTGGTTATCACTAGTTCGGCTGTTGCTCTGCGGAAGTGAGGAATTGCTATGCGCCATGGTTGTCAGAAAATTACATGTGCCGTGTACCTCTGCTTCCAAGCGAAGCAAAGGACAAGCCCCAAACACCGACGCTTTCGGTATGACTGAAACTGTGGAATTCGGAGGTGCCCGAAACTCTCGGGCCATAATGTTTCCCACCTCGACCACACGATGCATCATAAATACCAATCTAAACGGCACTTGTGGTTCGTGCCGTTTCATAGAGTCGGAGCCAAGAACCACCAGCATTCTCACAAGACTAAGAAACGAAATTGCTAATCAACAACAGAAGCAACATGTACAAAAGTGGCAAGACTCGTGGTCACGATCATCGCAGCTGCACAAGCAAATAACTTGCAGGCACAAGGAATAGCAATCACTGGGCGAGCAACAGCAACAGCAGCAGCAAAAGTTGCAACCGCAATCGTCGTCCTACTTCTTACACTGCTGAATGGGTGTACCTGACAAGTTCTCATCTCAACCGAGCACTCGCCAAGAAGTCGAACCTCAATTACACCTGCACACTCCACCCGAAGCTTTGCACGAGGCAATCTCGAAAAGGCAAGGCTGCGAGCAAACAAAGTATGTCCACAGCTTGAAACCGCTTAGATCCCCACCCTCCACCCCCAAGAAACTCAACACGAAAGTCTCTGCGAAGCACTACCGCCAGGCGCTCTCCTCGCAGGACATTGGCCACCTGCCGGCCAAGGAGTCAGCATTTTGAGCTTCGACCCACGCTCCAGGCATTAGGCCAAAGGTTTTACAGGCTCGACGTTTGGTCTTTACGGCTTCAAAGCATTAAGCGTGGAATGCAGACTGGCCTGGGAGCTGTCAACAGGCTCGACTTCATGCGCTTACTCTCATGTCGAGGCTTCTTTTGGCTAAAGGATAACAACTGCAAAGGGACTCGATGTTTCAGCTCTTGGGGCGGGGTCTGATGACGAAGGCCGTCATTATCAGCAACGGTGTGTTTTCCGCAGTTCTTGAGAATCCTGAACAGCCTAAATTTTTCGTTCCGGTTTGGTACCCATTCGTTTTGCCCGCCGCAAGACCTTGATACTTTCGTAGAATTGGGTAGCTCCGACCCTGGCGCAGCTGCAGAGTCCCGGCCTGCCACGAAGCGTTGTAGACCTGTTTTCGTTTTATCTTGGGGGTAGGGTTTACGGGACACAACCACGACTTGGTAAATGGCTTGGCAAAATCCGGAAGTCTGGACAATGGCTTGGGCCGGTGAGGAGAGCTTACAGCTTAGACACCGTCACTACAGCCCGAAACCCATCCTTCTGTACAACAAATCTCGTGAGAGTTCTAGAGCTGGAACATGGATTAGGATGATTGGTGCTGGGATCCCCTTTTACTTTACTTGACCTGAAGGGCACGAGCATCATGTTGTTCCAGCTTTCTGGCTCCTACTCTAGGTATCGAGACATTGTCCGTGACAGCTTCAAGTGTTTCGGGCTTCTAGCCTCGGCGGAATTAGGTTTTCGAAAAACCAAACTTGGGACGAAGTGCGTGACAAGACCAAATACCGGTGGCCAGGATTTTGTAGAATTAAACTGGAAGCCCAAACTACGAGTCCTAAACCAGTCCTGAAGCCCAAACCCGTGGAGAAAAGCCCATGTGGTAAGTTTTGGGTTCGGACCTTGGAATTGTATTTCTTATACACTATACTGACTATGCTACATAAAGGACCATATCATATTGTATGATAACATCCGATACTATATTACATTACGTTTTGAACTGGGCAAAGCCTTTCAGACCCATCGCCGCCTCGCGGTAGTTCTCGGCCTCGGGATCCAACATGAGCGTCAGCTGCGGCAACGCCGCCGCTGCCTATCAAACTGGGGGCTTCTCCAACCGGCTACTACAAGGCCATTATGTTATATGGCTCCCTTCTAGGGTTTTATACTAGCAAGAGTACTGACAGTCACAACAGACATTAGTCAGCAACAACACAAGTAACAGGAATCGCAACACAGTACTGATTATAGTCATAGTGCTGCTACTACGCCCTTTCCGATTTTGGAAATGTCGAAGCGCTCCCGAAACTTCTGACAGTTTTAGGTTCTGTTCTCAACTGCAAGCCGTGTCCTGGATGTCCGGATACTCGTAGAAGCGCAGCTTCTTGGGGTCGTGCGCCTGCCTGGCGAGCGCGAATTGAAAGCTTGGAGGGCATTTGCGATTGCGGCTACTCTAAGCCCAAACCGTGCGCAACAAACCCAACACAACTCCTCCTCATCAAAGAATATGACAACCATCAAAGAATGCGGCAACAACAACAATCAATGCCAGAAACAACTCACAACGGCAATGGCCGACAACAACAAGAAAAATGCCACCAAGTAATGTGATACCGATGGATAGGACTAGCCACAATCGCCAGTGCAGCAGGCGTTGTCGTCGTCGTCGTCGTCGCTGTCGGAATTGTCCCGCCGGCATAGCTGTAGCTGGAGGCAGCACGCAAAAGCTGGTCGAACTGTTGGTTACCAGTATCAGTCGCCCTCTATTAGCCCTAACATTGAGATTAACATGATGAACCCTGAGAGTACCTGGCATCATCATTACAGCCACTACATCGAATACGCCTCCCACTGCTCACCAGCCTCGAGAAACGCTTTGGAGGCTCGGCAGCGGACCAGCAAAGCCTCAGATATGGGATGATATGGGTGTTTAGGATTCAATCTAATGTAATACAGCATAACATAAAGTATCATAAAGTAAAAGCTAGAACAATGCAGTAATGTGGAGACTGAAGATGAGGAGTCTTGCGTTCAGGACTTTGAGGCTTCAAGGTCGGCTAAGCTGGTTACCAGGCCCTGAATACTCGGGACTGGACCATTTTGCGTTATCATGTGCATTGCTACTTGACACATTCCCTCTTCAGAGTTCCACTAGCAAGCAACGATTACACATTCCAAACTCTAACCACGTTCTGCTTCGGGACTCAGGGTCCTGCTTTGGGACGTCAGGGTTTAGGCTTTGTAGCTCCATGGCTAAGGGGCGCGAAGATCCCAAAAGAGGACTGGCACAAGCAGAAGCATCTACCGAAAGCAGCACTTCACCTGCCGCTGCGGCCAAGAAGCTGCAAGGCCAGGAGGAAAGCGGCATGGCTTGACATGGGGCATCCAGGCTTGATTTTACAGTCAGACTCGTCAAACACTGGTGCTCAAGGTGCACGCAAGATTCGCCGAAGAAGCTCTTTCTTTCCTCCCCATCCAAATGTGACCAAGGTCATCCAGGGCTTACATCAGCCTAGGCGTCTTCCGTGCTACATTGCGCAACCATGCCATGGTTCAGGGTAGGACTCTGCCAAAGAGTGTGGGCCTTAGAGTGCGGACCGTGGTTCGTGCTGGTCAAGGAAGATGACTCCGGGCCAGCACGATCAGCATCATTCCGCGCGAAAGTCTCTCGCTATCTTGATGAGCTTCATGCGCTCTCGGGTGTGACTTATCCAGGGCTGCGGCGGTATTCAGAAGTTCGGGTTTGTGAGAAATTGCGGGTTTGTGCTTTACGGCGGCTCCAGGCTCTGAGAGACACTTCGATCAGATTTTGGTCATCTTCCGTAGCTAGTGCTAGTGCGAGCTTCTCCAAGGGATGCAAACGGCCTAGCAGTTACGTTCCCGACAGCGTAACTTCTTGGAGTTGCTCGCGGGTCCCCAACGGTTGTGATGTTGTTGGCCCTAGCATGATGGCGATCATTGACTTACGACTCAGCGCATGTCACACGGACATTGCATGGCAGCTCCAAGAGACCATGATTCCGACATCTGTCACAGCTTGCAACAAGCGGCTACCTCTACAGTCACTTCAGTCACAGCGGCTTCATGGCACAAAGACTTGCAAAGCGCACAGGCCTTCACCTCGAGCTTCCTTCCTGCTGTTTTTCTGTGGTGCTATCGCTGGAAGCCAAGCAGGCGACTTTTCCGCTTTGGTCCAGGGTACCGAGCGACCCATGCATTGTGGCGGGCCCTGCTCTTGCACAAGCCGCGTGGGAGTGGAGGCGATACGTGTAGACATGCATATGTGCATGGAAGCGACACCAACGCTGCACTTGCAAATCCTCCTGCAAGTCCGAGCTGGCGAGCGATGGAAAGCCATCATCCTGCAACTCCGGTGGTGTGCCAAGCACTCAACCATCACCTACTTGAAGCCTGACGAGGATGCCAACCTGGTGCGGCCATCCCTTGGCGAGCCAGCGGCGAAGAAGACCAGGGAAGGACAGGCAAAGTTCTGCATCAGCTCAAGGCGAAGGGCTGAGGCGCGGCGATGGCCAGGCGCAGCTTCCGGCTCATGTCCTCTTGGTCCTCGTATGGCGGGACGTCCACGACCCAGAAGCAAGTGTGAGCCGATGGCAACTGATCCAGGTTGTCTGTGGGCATGAAGCGGATAGCCAGCTTCTGCCCTGCAGGAAAGCGTTGGCTGGCAGGAAGCCGGCCAATGCCAGTGGCAAAACGAAGGAACATGGAGAGCTCCTCGGCCGAAAACGAAGCGACAACCGCCGTGAAGTATTGAATCTGCGTCTCGTAGCCATACCCAGGTTTGAACTCCAGGTTCGGCAACACAACCTCCGGGGTCAATGGAACACCTTCCAAGAGCTCAACGATCTGCTCCCCTGTCATTGAAGACCACATCGCAGTCCGCCGCCCCTGTGTAGTAAAGCCGGCGGCCAAAGCTTCGTAGGCCAACCACCTGTCTCCGCCCCCAAGATACTTCAGGTAGAGATCCCACAGGAGCACCCACTCGAAAGCGGCGCCGTCGAGGAGGAGCCTGCCCTCCGATGATGAAGCGAGCCGAGCAAGCAGACCGTAAGCCGCCGGCTCCAGCATGGCCTCCACGGTCTCGAAAGTTTCTGTGGACAGCGCGCACACGACAGAATGACCGGCTGCCGGCTCCCGCATGCACTGCGCCAACATCCAGCGGTATCCGGCCTCTTTCTGAGGGTCTGCTCGACGAAGTCGCCGGAGAAGGTCGGATAGCTGACTGAGAGCCCAATCATCGCCCTCGGCATCTCTCCTCGCGATCATGCGGTCGATACTCTTACGAACATCCTCGACACCCGCGCCGAGGCCGAGGTCGTCATCATCGGGTGGCAGACGCGGCAATCTTCCGAGAGCGCAATCGAAGACGACACTACTCAGGGCAAGCGGTGCATTTCCAAAGTGGACGAGCGCGCGGAGAAGCATTGCACCGACTGTGTTCCACGTCTGTCTCCACTGTTGCACGCTCTGCTGTGCGCGTTGACGGTCGTTTACGAAGAGGGTCGGCACCTCAGAGCCATCCATGCCGGCTTTCAAGACAAGACTGCTGCTCTCCAGCTGCTCAAAGAACAGCGTCACGACCTCTCTCCGCAGCCCACCACCATCAACGCCACTTTCGTCGCTGAGCATGACACGCCATTCACCCAGGATTGCTTCTTCTCGCCATTCGCCCACCTTGGCCCCGGCGATGTCGTCGAAGACCGTCTCGCGGGAGAGCATCAGAGGCTCTTCGACGCGCTTCCCACGGAACTCTTCTCGAAGTAACTCGGCGGAGCTGAGGAAGGTCTGGGGGGCACTTACCGAAGAAGAACCCAGAAGTCCTCGTCGTCGCAGAAAGCCCAGTGGTTCCAGGGCTCGGTGGCAGGACACGGACGTTGCGGAAGGCCTCGTGGAAGGCTTCTCAGCGAGCAGTAGCTGCAAGAGATCTGCCATGTCTGCGTCGGTGCGCTCCTCGGGCAAAGAGCGGTGTCCCCGGGTCGGATGATATGGACAAGAAGAGACCTGAAGCTCCAGGCCAAGGAAGGTCTTGGTCATGGCCACGCCAGCGCTGTAAACGTCAGCGGCACATGTGGGCACTGTCAAAGGATCTGCCTCTAGCTCTGGTGCCGCATAGTCTGCTGTCGGTGCCGGCCACCGCTGCTCCGCCACCAAACCTTGGAGAGCACACCTCCTGAAATCCACCAGCACCGGTCGCAGATCAGCCCGGAGCAACACATTCTGCAGCGTCACATCTCCGTGGCAGACACCGGCAACATGAAGCTGGCCGACGGCCTGCCATATCTGCCTCCAGATGCTTTGCCCCCGCACGAACACATCTGCATCACGTCCTCGCTGCAACGCATCTTCATGCTTGGCACACCATTGTTCAAGTGTCCCCCCTGGACAGTGAGGAAGTTGCAGATAGGTGCAGCCTGCCGATTTGAAGACGTCCATGAGTGACAGCACCTGCGGGTGATCTCGGAGCTTCAGGAGCGCCTGAAGTTCTCGAAGGCAAAGGTCTCGCTCGGCTTCTTGATACCGCTTCAAAACCACAGCCTCGGCAGGTGCGGACTTTTTTCGGGCGACCAGAGCACGGATGCCGTTGCCCAGCAGGGTGGTGTCGAAGCCAGCAAAGGCGTCGACGCGCAATTCGGCTCGCTTTAGCAGCGTCTCGGCATCCATGCTGTCCACTGTCACAGCCGAGGGCTTTGCCTTGACCAGTCGACTCGGAGAGCTTGGAGAAGATGCAGCTCTCAGATCGTTGTCTGCCTGCTTCGCGCACCAGCGGCTGTGATGCAGAAGTCTTTCCAACAGTGGATCTGCATGCGTTGGGCCAGCGGCACGGAGAGCACGGGCAAAGCCGGCAATGCCGGTGATCTCCACGAGGCCCAGTTGTGCCCACTGCGCAGCCAAGCGTATCTCTGCGACGAGCACGAGGTGAGCTTGATCTAAGCTCGACCGTGCAGCAGCCAAGCCCTGGGTCGAAGGTGAAGGCTCGCCGTGACGCCGACAGCGAGCTCTGATACGCCGGTGCACCGAGGAAGCCTCGATAAACTCTTCCTCTGCACGAGAGAAGGCCAGCTCAGCAGCGCCAATGCGCCGTGCCATCTCCGCTGCAGCACCTGGAGTTGTGTAAAAATCCCGCTGGGAATCTCTTGTCCCCTAATTGGGTATTAGATTTTCTTCACTGCGTATTGTTCACAGTGTATCAACCATTAACACTTAGCAAGTGCAGGAACAGGCTTTGTCTGTAGGCGAAGTCGGCGTAGCAGCAGTAGTAGTAGTCGTCGTCGCAGTCGAAGTCGTCGTGGTAGTAGTCGTCGTCGTCGACGTAGTGGCAGTGGCAACCGCAGCGGCAGCGCCAGTAGCAGTAGCAGCAGCAGTGGCGGCAGCGGTAGCCGTAGCCGTAGCGGTAGGTAGTAATGGAGGTAGTGTAAGTTTTGAGACAAGTCGTAGTTAGTAGCAATTGCCTTAGTATAGATGCCAAACACAACGGAAGACGGAAACCTTATCGTTTGTTTTATTGCGTATCGGTCTACCAGCTTAACCGCACAAGGACTCCAAAACCAAAACTGTGCACAACCTCACCTTGGTCTGCGAGCTCGCAGAGGCTCGAGAACTTTGCCCTGGCCTCTGCCAGGGCCGAAGGCAGCTCCCGGCCGGCACGCCCTGCAGCATCGATTTCTTTGTCCAACACAGCAAGGCATCGCACGGCAGCAGCATCTCTCTGGCGAAGAGCCTCTGAATCTTCAACGGAACCCAGCTCGTCGAATTCATCCCACAGCCGGCGTTCTGTAGCATCGTACACTGTCAGCTCACCGAAAAGGCTGGTACCGTGCGGATTGGGTAACACGGCTTGTACACGATCAAGTCGGAGTCTCGGTACGGAAGCAGATGTTTCCGGTAGATCAACATTAGCAGTTGCGGCTGCCTGTGCCAGGGAATTGAGTGAGGAGTCTGCGCCGATCTCGGGCCAAAACGAATCGTCCGAGCTGAATGACCGACGGAGGGGAGGAGGCAGTCTTGGCGGGGAGTTGGCCACGACACCCTCCTCCTCCCGAAACCTTCGCATCTCTGGGAAGAAGAAGCTCGCGTTGAGTGGTGGGGCATCCTGAAATGAGCTGGGGCAGAAAATCGAGATGTAAGCCACTTTCACTTCTGTAGGCGGGTGCGGGGCAGCCAAATACGGGGCCAGTAGCAGAGCCGATGCGGGGCCTGGGGCGGCGAAGGCGAGCTTGAAGTACTGCAACGCTCCAAAGCTGACGGGAAGGCCGAGGATGGGTCGCACCACGAGGCGGCTCCAGAGAATGCCCACCTCCTGTGATCCGATCTCCACGTCCTTCGCAGCAAGGAAGGTGGAGAGGGCGTCGA